TATAATAGTGCATTCTTATTAGATAGAGAGGTGAAATCCCTCTTTACACTTTATCCTGGTTCTATAAAATTTTTTTTATTTTTTTCCTTTTTTTTTTTTTGGAGGTTTTTTTTTATTTTGTATTTTGCTCTTTTCCCTTTTCCCCCTTTTGCTCATTTCCCCTTTTTAGTCATAGTTCGTTTTCGTTTTTTATAGAATTTTTTTTTTGGATAATTCCAGTTATCCGTGATCTGGTAGGACGGAGTTGCTCATAGGCCTGAGTTAGGTTTCGCACCGCGATATAGAACCATGTAATGTCGGACTTCTTTTTTGAAATTTATATATTTATAGTTCTTATAAATATTAATAAATAAAATTAGTCATGGCGAGACCCGTCGACATTTTTTTAAAAAAAAACAATATTAATAGACTGGGAAATCACATCCATATCCTTGTTTATGAAAGATAATTTTTTTTTTATATGTATTTGCACTAAGTAATTGTGATATATTTTTTTATTTGTATATTATGTTGTCGTCGTGACAATATAATTTTTTATAATAATAAAGGGAGGGGGTCCGCTGGGCTCCTAATTTTTTATTTTTACGCGATAGTGTGAACAAGTATTGGTCATCAGTTATACTATTATTTCGATTTTTATTAGCACCACTAAAATCTAATATATGCTAATCGATTTTTTATAAGTTATATTACTAGTTCTTAAATTATAGTAATAGCCTACATCTTCTTTGTCATCAGAAACCATCGTGTCTATATCATTTATCTTATCATTATCTGAAAATGATACGTCTTCTTCATAATCATTGTCGTGGCTACAATTACTATCATAGTCTGTCTGAACTTTATTAGTTCCTTTCTCCATTAATGAAGGCATGAGATCATCATAGTCATTAGCTTTGGACGAATTATCTGGACTGATTACTTTGGAATCACCTAAAGAATTAGGTGTAGTTGGAACACTTACTTTAGAAGATTTAATCACGTGCGCGTTACTTTTCGTAACACCAACGATCACTTTTTGGCATTCATCCATATCAGTAGGCTATTTAGGAAAACTATTTATAATACCCTGAATTTGAACATCGCTTAGACATGAAATAGCATACATGCTATAGATAATTCGTTTGATCTTATCTATCCCTATCCCTGTGAATAGTGTGTAAATTTTTTTGGCTCTGAAGGTTTTCTGACGTAAGTTTACATTAGTAATGTTGGGAAGAAGAAATTTTATTTCATTATATACCAATATTCTCGCTGATTGGTCATCAATATTTTTTATACCTTTACAGTCTTCAACCTGATCCTCATATGCTTTATAGAAACAATACCAGCATAGATTCTCCTTTTGCTCAACTTTTATTGCCATGTTAAATAAATCAGCTATACTTTGTATTGCAATTTTATTAGATCCAATTAAAATCGTCTAAAGAGGGAATTCAGGAATTTGAATATCAAATGAGCTATGTTTTTCGATATCATTATCTTTGGTAAAAATGGATAGCTCATGTCTCAAACCTTGCTCCACTTTCTGATTGTATGAAATTTTTGTTTTTTCATCACATAGTGACCAAGAATTACTATCATCAGAAACAATATTCGCTGAGTGCTCTACACTTATTTCATTCTGTTTTTCTTTCTCTATCCCGTGTGAATTGTAAATGCTTGATTCTTCGAGCATTGAGCTTTCCTCTTCAGAAGATGTTGGAGACATTAGTTTTTGAGTTCGAAGTTTCTTTTTTCTATTCCTCTCTCTTATCAGATTACTAACCATTTTCTTGTTTTCCGAATCCAAGAAAGAATCCATCTCCTTTTCTTCCAATGATTTTGGATATCTTTTGCAAGGTTGAGGTAAATTGACAGGTGACACCTTTGGTATCGGTTCTTCGGGAACAAAATCATCTATTTCCTTATCTGATACCTTTGCTATCCCTTCTATTGACTTGGTGTCGGCATTATTTTGTTGGTCCACTATGGAGTTGGATAAATCAACAGTTGATACCGAATTATCTATAGATAACCACACCTCTGCTATCGCTTCCTTACCATTCTGTGTCTGA